TTATCCCATTCCGTTGGTTGCCTTTTAGTTTTGTTGGTTGTTTCCTTTGCTGTGCAGAAGCTTTTTATCTTCATAAGGTCCCAGTAGTTCATTTTTGCTTTTAATTCCCTTGCCTTTGGGGATGAAGACACATATTAACTTAACCATTATAAAAGTCCTATGAAGTGAGTATTATTATTAACCCCACTTGACAGATAATGAAAGTGAGGCACAGGGGAGGTCAGTGACTTACTCAAGGTATTAAAGCAAGTCACTACAGGAAAAGTTACAATACAGGGAAAAGTGGAATGAAAATGAAAAACTCACAATCAGATCAAGAAGAGACAACCAGCACTGAACGCCTTCTAAGACTGTTTTCAGTACATTCTGAAAAATCAAAAGCAACTAAATACACTTGTCTTTTTCACTTATAAACATCTACCTATGTTATTATAAACACATTGTGAATGTTATTTGTAACGGACACATACTGTAATTTAGAAATGCCATCCTGGACTTAAACAATTCCCATTATGAGACATTTAGGTTGTCTCCTCTAATTTTTTTCTTACATACATTTTTCAAATAGGTGACGAGCCAACAGCCTCTTCCATGCTGTCCTGCCGGCTGCTTCCCTTATCCTGTATTCAATAAACTTGTATCTCCTTTAAAAACGAATTGATTAAATAAAAATAAAATAGGTAACACATTCACACCATCCAAAACTCAGAAAGTATAAAAAGTGTTATAATGAAAATCTCCCTCCTACCAACAGGTAACCACTGATCTTTGTTTTTAAGACTCCTTCCAGAGACTTTTTCTAACACGGCCATATAATATCCCACTGTGTAACGACACACCAGCCCTCCACTGATGGGCATTCGGTTGTTTCAGACTTTCTGCTGTTACAAGTATCTCTGCAGTGAAGAGCCCAATACACATGCCTCGTATATACAACTGCCTCTGTGGAGACATGTAGAAAAATAGATGCATGGGTCGCAGCCTCCACGTCAGCTTTCTCAGAACTCAAAAGATCAACTTTCTCAAGGCCACGAACAGTGTTCATTATTTCATCTATGTATCCATAGATGACACTTAGACCGGTAATGGCCTCCACAGTCAGCCGTAAAGATGACAAAGACACAGTTCTGTCACGTAAGTTTCCTTCGGCACTGTGAACTGTTATACTAGCTGATGCAACGTCTTTGCCTTCTAAGTCCAATACCTGAGCCTCCTCAGGGCAGTTTCTATAGACTATTTTTGTTCCTGAGTACGAGCCACACTTTCCCATTTCTCTGGATGTCTTGAATTTTTTTTTCATTGCAGGTGGACACTGTGCCTAATAAAATGTGGCGACCGGGGAAATCAGGATTCCAACCCTGTGCCTGTTGTTATTTGTTTCTCCAGTGACTTTCCTGTTCTAATGCTCCAAAGTCTGTTTCCCCCGTCGTGTGTGGCCTCTGAGGTCTCTGCTCAGTTAGCTCAGCGGTCAGCCAGATGACTGGACAGGGTTTCCTTCAATGCATTGAATCACTAACTCTTCCACCTTTTGCTGACGAGCTTGGCGTGTGATTGAGTGCCCCTTCAACGTTCAGTCCCCGCACGGGACTCCAGGTTAGCCAGGGATGAGAGGCCAGGGCCCTGACACATCTTTCCTGCAGGGTCGCACGTCGGGCATGGCCGTCTAGATCCCCAGAGCAGTCCAAAGCCCACTACAGACATCTCATTCCTCAGATCTTCCTTTTAAATTCTTGGCCAGGCTCCAGTTTGCCCAACTGGTATCACAGCCTCAGCAGTTGTGTTAAACAACCGCACGTGACTGTTTTAGACTGAAGTCCTAGGGGTAGATCTTTTCCCAAGGAGCAATCTCTGAGGCAGGTCAGGTAGCTCCCTGGGCCGGAGCTTTTCTGGAAAGCTGTGAGACAAGTGACCGCCATCTGGAGATTGGACGTTCTGAGGGATTCAAGCCCCACGTGTCCCTCCAGTGGCCGCAAGGCTGCTGGGTTTCACAGCTACCGTAGTTCTGAAGCTGCCAAGTGTTAAGGCTACTGCAGAACTGGGGGTGAGAGGATGAGAGAAGGCCAAGTTTAAATGCCACGAGTCCTGCCATGCTTACCAGGGTCAGTACTATGCTAAGCACTTCATTTCCAATATCCCGTTTCACCTCTAACAACCCGATGAGGTTAGAACTATTATAATCCTAGTTTATAGAAGAGGAAACTGAGGCATGCAGACCTTCAAGTGGCTTGCTCCCGCTCTCACAGCTAGTAAGAGATAGGAACCATAATCGGTCTGATTCCAGAGTCTTATTCTCAAGGACTATGCTTGTACTACTTTTCATCTGTGAGAGAATAATCCAGAGAAACTAGGTTTAGTTAAAAGTGTAGCTGGAAAAAAACCAAAACAAAACAAAAGGGGGCGCCTGGGTGGCTCAGTCGGTTGGGCATCTGACTTCGGCTCAGGTCATGATCTTGCGGTCCGTGAGTTCGAGCCCTGCGTCGGGCTCTGTGCTGACAGCTCAGAGCCTGGAGCCTGCTTCAGATTCTGTGTTTCCCTCTCTCTCTCCCCCTCCCCTGCGTGTGCTTTCTCTCTCTCTCAAAGGTAAATAAACATTAAAAAAAAAATTTAAGGAGCACCTGGGTGGCTCAGTTGGTTGAGCATCCAACTTCGGCTCAGGTCATGATCTTGCAATTTGTGAGTTAGAGCCTCGCGTCAGGCTCTGTGCTGACGGCTCAGAGCCTGGAGCCTGCTTTGGATTCCATCTCCTTCTCTCTCTGCCCCTCCCCCACTTGTGCTCTATCTCTATCAAAAAAAAATTTTTTTTTAAGTGTAGCTGAATATGAATGCGTGAGGAAGATCAATTACAGATAAATTTTATAGAATATGTATTATACTTAAATTTTCTTTTAAGTATTTTCATTTCTTTTAAACGAATTCTTTCCCTAAATTAGTCATTCTTAACTATGGTGTGGATCCGAACCATGTGGAACTTTGTAAAAATACACCTACACAACTCCCCTCTCTCCCTGTACTATTTATGATGGAACGCAGATGTCTGCACTTTTAAAAGTTCTGTAGAGATTCTGAAACTCAATCCCAGCCAAGAATCACTGCATGAGACTCAAAAACTCCTTAAAATTAGAACCATATCAACTATTTCACCACCTAATTTCTGTGACAGGTGTTCACACAGGAAAGATGCTTCTTAGGGGAAATGGCATAAAGGAAAAAGCAGACCTTTGGGAGTTAAGAGACTTGAGTTTGAGTGCTGGACCTCTCACTCGCTCCTTGTACGACCCAGGGAAAATTAACTTCTCTGAACCTTAGTTTCTTCATCTATAAAATGGAAGTTTAAAAAACAAGGCTACAAGAACAGGTAACAAAGGCTGGAATGTACTATGCGTGCAAACGGTCGTTGCCATGATTAACCCTGACTTAGATTTAGAAATTCAGCAAATGTTATTCACTATCAGCTCTGGACAAAACCAACTCTGTGAGGTCCCTGAGTAAGAGCTCACAATCTAACACACGAGTACGGGAGAGGGGCATTCTCCCTAAAAAGGCAAACTGTGATGAGCATTGACACAGATATATTTATTATATGATGGGAAAACGGTGGAAGAGAAATAGTTCTGTGCTGGAAAAGGCCCCTAAAAGTGTAATGTGAACCGTGCCTAGAACGAATGAGAGTCAGACAGGCACAATCCTAGTCTGCCTTGCTGCAAACCAGTCGTTCTCTAACATACAGCAAAGTCACACGAGGACTTGTGAAAACACACACTGCTGGGTGCTACCGCAAACACTCTGATTCAGCCGATCTGGAGTGGGGTTTGAGGATCTGCATCTCCCAAGTGACACGGACGCTAACACTGAGAACCACCACTCCAGACAGAGAGAGTACTTGAGCAAAAGTGACAGCTGACAGAACGGGTATCCCTGACCTAGAAGATGGCAGTTTCTGGGACACAGGCTTCGTGTGAGTGGTTACAGAATATGGTCAGAAATCTAGAAATAAAAACTTTCTAAATAAAACACTTCCTTCTCTAACAAGAGGGAGATAAACTGCACATCCGAGGAAGGGGAACGGACATTCGAGACTCTTGTGTGGTGACGGAGGTTAAGTGGACATGTGGCGGTGGCCATCTGTCAATATATACAAATATCAAATCAATATGTTGTACACCTAAAAGTAATATGTTAAATGGCAATTATAGCTCAATAAAACAAAATAGAAGAGTACGTAAAATAAAACTCACTTAAAAGATGCATAAGCTCAATCGATACAAGAAAACAGTCAAACCCAAATTGAGGGAAATTTTATAAAACAACATACCACTACTTGTCAAAAGTGTCAAGGCTGTGAAAAACGAAAAAGAAGAGTAAGGAAATGTCACAGACTGAAAGAGTTTACGGACGTATGATAACTAAATGCAATGAGGGCTCCTGGATTGAATCCCAAAACAGACGTTCATGGGAAAACTAGGAAAATTTCATGAAGTCTATAGTTTTTTAGTTATTGCACCAACATTACTTTCTGGGTTTTGATTATTACACCATAGTTCTGTGAACTGTTAACAGTAGAAGAAGCTGAGTGAAGATTGTATCAGAAAGTTCTGTACCCTTTTTGCAACCTTTCTGTACATCTAAGGTATGTGCAAATACAAAGTTAAAAAAAAAAAAAAAAAAAACTAAGTCAAAACTAACTACTCCTCTGTGATGGGACATTTAACATCTGTAACCCGGTACCTTTCAACTCCACTTGCTACTCCCAGCTCTGCGTCACACAGGTCATCAGTAAGGTAATGAGGCAAGAAACTTTGGGGTAAAGGGTTAATTAAATGTACAAAGGAAAGAAACACAGTGTCACTCATTCTTTATGAAAGAGAATGTAACACTAACACATCCTGAATTTTAATATTTATCTTAGTATGCTAGACATTAAAACTCTGCAAAAAAAAAAAAAAAATTGAAGCCTATTGAATGGTTTCATTTACGAATTTTAACGAATGTTTCGTACTCACCAAAGCCATCAATATCTAGGTTATTCTCAACCACAACATCTAGTAGAGAGTCACCGACTTTCCCTTTGGCTGTCAATGTCTCCCCATCACGGTTTACAAAGTGGACTGTTATTTTATCTTCTGAGCTGGAAAAGGAAGTAGTCCTTTATTATTTTTAGGAATTTTAAAAGATACTTTAAAGGAATTGTTTTAGGAACTTGTCAAAAACATGGGGGGGGGGTGTGTATGTGAATGCATGCATGCAAATATGCTTTTTATAGTATTCTTTCCTTTCTACAGTTTAGAGAAGGCATCACAAATCAGAGGCATGTCTATCTACCCATTTACCAGAACGGAAGCTCTACCGCCCTACAGGAAAGGGCAACTATATTACTGTCAAGGCCACCCACTGTGTCCCCCCAGGGGTTACAGCCATAGGTTGAGTCCTGTGACAACACGTAGAAACCATCCTTAGTCATGAAGTCCATTTTACTCTCACACGGCTCCCTGAAAAGCGTCATCTGTATGTAGCGTCCCTAGAAGACGACACCGTGAGATCATTCTGCTATCGGTAGGGTAGCAGCTGTGCGGGTGTCTGAGAGGCAGCAGTGTGTTTTCGGAGCATTTACACATCTCATTTTGGTCCACATCATGTACTCAAAACTCAAAGAGGCTACGATAGGTTTTTGTTTGTTTGAATCAATGGGAAGATAAATATGATGCCTCCTTGCGTGTTTTATTATAGGATATAATATTACCCAATAGAGTCAGCAGACTTAAATTCCTTTCCCTTCTCATAAACATCACTCCAAAATCTGGGAGAAGAAATGATATTAGCAACGAGATGCCTGTCATCCACCATTGGTCATTTTAATTTTGACCTCACATTTGAAAAGATGTACTTTACTTAGTTGCAATTTTCACTACTGCCAATAGAGGGTAATAATCCATCAAAGAAAACTTTAATGTAGGTAAAACTAGAATTATATAATTTCAGAGCTGTAAATATATTGCAAATTATCAGGTCAAATTATCTTATTTTAGAAATGAGGCAACTAAAGCCCCTTTCAGATAATGGCCCCCTTGATAATTCAATGCTGCAAAAAGGAGAATTCTATGAATTAAAAAGTATCGCTTGTGTGTGTGTGTGTATGTGAGAGAGAGAGAGAGAGAGAGAGAGAGAATGGCTCTCCAGAAGGGCCTGTGCTCTCCAACTTCTTTTCAAAGCAAAAAACAAAAAAACAAAAACAAAAACAAAAAAAAAACCTTTAGAAGCTCACAGCACTGAAATGTCTTTTACATCAAACTGCTCTTCCATAAAATCAGGGTAACATTTATGTTCTAGTTTTGATTATGTACGCAAAATACCTAGAGCTCAACAAACACTGATTAATAACTTTTATTTAAAACTTCAGTCATTTTTAAATTTTTTTAAATGTTTATTTATTTTTGAGAAAGAGAAAGACAGAGCCTGACATGGGGCTTGAACCCACCAACCTAAGCGGAAGCCGATGCTTAACCAACTTACCCACCCAGGCGCCCCAGCTTCAGTCCTTTTGTTGCTAAGAAGCAACTGCTATGAATTAGAGGTGTACAGTCCCAGAAAAAAATACTGCACAGTAAGAGAAATAATAGGTTTGTCAAAGGAGCGGAGAGGAAGCAGAAATGAGAGAGGAAAGGTAATCCTGCAGTTGAAAGCGCATGGAATGTGAGAATCAGAAGATGTAGATTCTAGCTCTGGGTCTGACATACACACATTAGATGACCAGGGGAAGCCACTGCCTTATGGGTAAGATGGGGACTGTGACTTCACCAAGCTGGTGAAGGAGAATCAAAGGTACATTAGTGGAAACACTTTGTTTCTTAAAGCATTATACGCGTGTACTTTACCCAAATAACTGTATCCATTTGCTATTAATAATTGGTATTGGTGGGTTTTAGGTTTCCCCCCCCAATTCCAGGAACTAGCAACACGCTTTTAGCTGTTCCCAAGGATAAGATTTCACGCACTGAGAAATAAACACAATCCTTCTAAATCTTCTACCAACATCAATTCATCAGCGCAAACAACTATTTTCTTCACTTGTTACCTTTTACTACTGCCATTTCTTCTGCTCAACCACAGCCGATATTTTAACAAAGCTGTCTGGGGTTGCGGTGGTACAGTTCCTAACAGACTTCTCATAGGGAGGGAAGTTATTATAGCTGCTGATGCCTACCTTTTCACCATATAGGGAGGGTGGCCTGAGGCCGTTGGTCCAAGAAAAGGGTCTGGCCCATTCTGGGGCTCCCTACTTCCATAGCCTCCTTAACTCTTCCTAATGACCCTTGTGGGCTAAAGAATTGTCAACCCTCATGGTGCTCAAGGAAACAAACTAAAACTGCTTGACTTCTGTTCCTAGTCTGCCAGCTACTTATATTTTTATTTCCCACTTCACCTACCTCCCAGGATTTTCTTAAGCCTGAAGTGCAGCAATTGTTGTGAAAGCCCTTTGAAGCCTCAATCACTACAAAATAGGAAGTATTATGTTGGAGTGTTTTGGAGCAAAAGCCTTTTTTCTCGCCCCCCAACTCTCAATTACTGATAACTTAGCCATACAGTTTCTAGGCTGTTCTGTCCCGTGCAACTCTGTGCACTAACAGAGATGTTCTACACCTGCAATGTCCAATAGAGTAGCCACTGGCCACACGTGGCTGTTGAGTACTTGAAATGCAGCCAGCACAACTGGGATACCGACTCTTTTAAATGTATTTAACTGATGTTATCTTAAACTTAAATGTGGTTGGTTGTAACCATAGTGGAAAACAAGTCTGAGAGAGTAAGAGGTGAAAGATCTAGTTGCTAGTTCCAACGTGTGTGATACAAAGCACAAGGCCATCAACTGAAACTGTGCCAATGAGGAGGAAAGCAGGATTAGGAGGGAATAGAACAGATGTGCTTCCTTTTAAGACAACCTGATATATCCAAGTTCAAGCTTGATAAATGCAGGGGAGATAACTGCCATTTACAAAAGCATTCACGTTCCCTTGAAATACTAGGTTTGTGAATAAGTTCAATATATGTTGTCCCAATGTATACACAGTTTTTTTTTTTTCCCAAGAAAGCATCCATTGTACAAAAACATCCATGTAGAGAGGTTGAGGCAGGGAGTGTCAAAGAAACAGGGACAAATAAATCCAGCTTGCCTTCTCCGTTATCTCCCTCACACTTCATGCAACAAAAATTTATTGAGCATGCGCTACATAATAGTATTAATGGGGAAAAGATAATTAAGTCTTAGACCCCATTCTCAGGGACCTTATCAAGAAGAAACTAGAAAAGGCAGCATACAAATCCAAAACTGTCTCCCTCCAGGTCTTGCTTCCCACTACATGACAGCAAGGAGTCAGAGAACTGTCCAGCGATCTGCATTACATAAGGCTCCACCGCACTCTGAAATTAGGAGCAAATTTTATTCCCATTATATCCAAAGGGATCGTGTCTGAAAAACAAATATACCCAAGAATACAAATCTTCAAAATATTTTGGGGAAAATTTTTTTTACATCACTTTCAACATTTAATACAAAACACAACACTGTGGGCCTTAGCAGCTGCTGCCAACAGGTGGCACCTACTGAGCCCTCACCATTTGCCAGACATAAGATCACCTCTATTATCTGTACTATCGTATTCTTCAAATAACCCTATGAGGCCTATGCTTGACTTATGCTCCATTTATAAATGGGGAAACTGAGGTTTATACTGATGGAGGAAGTGAGGCATTAAGTGCCCAAGCCTAGTTTAAAACCCGGCCTTGCCAGTGCGAGGCAAGGAGTTTTAGCCCCGCATCGGCTACAAGAGAGCATACAGGCAATAAGGGGAGAGAGTGTGTGTATCCTAAACAGGCATTCCCAGCCAAAGAACTGGAGCCGGAACGTCCTAAAAGAGCAGGAGAAAGGCCCAGAACCAAAGTGCTGGCCGGGACATCAACGGAGAGCGTTTTATGAAGGTCAGTGCAGGCTCCGGGCAAAGCAAAGGTCAGCGCCGAGCCAAAGCACTGCAGAATCGACGGTGGCAGAGCGCGCGGCTTTCGGAGGGCCCCGGACGGAAAGGAGAGCGGGGTCCAGGGGGTCCCGGGTCCCCGTTCCCCGCAGGCGTCCGGGCTGGGAAAGGAAACCGCGGCGAGAATGGAGGCAGACAGGGCCCCGAGGAGCGCCACGGCCCAGGCGGGGCGAGAGGCGAGCGACCCCGGACAGCCGCCTGGCCGCAGGCGTCCAAGAAGGGGCAGGGAAACCAGCATCCGCGCGGCGCCGGGGACCCCCGCCCGCATGCGCACGCCGGCCCGCGTCTCACCTGCTCCGCGCCGGCGCCGACACGCTCAGCGTCCGGGGCGCCACCGCGCCGCCGCCCCGGCCCGGCCCCCCGAGCCCCGCGAGGCAGCCGGCTCCCGCGCGGGGTCTGGCGTGGAGCAGCCAACGATAGGCCGCGCCGCCCAGGGCCACGGAGGCGGCGCGCAGGAGCCGGGCGCCCCCCGCGGCGGCCATGGCCGGAGGTCGGGTAACTACCGGAAGCGACGCTGAGGCCGCACGGCAGCGGCCGCGAGAGGCTCGGCGAGCGCGGGCTAGCCTAGACGCCGGGGAGCCGCGGTCCGGGCGAGGGCCTGCTCCGAGCTGCGGCCGCGGGCTGCGCTTCTTCCGGGTGACCTATAAACCCTGCGGCTCCCCAAGTGCGGCCCGTCCCCCCACCCCCGCCCGTTCCCACTCCTCCCGGGCGGGTGTGGCCTTTAGGGGGCGGGGCCGGGCGCTGGGTCTGCACCCAAGAACCGCCTTTGTCTTCACCTGGCTGCTCGGTCCCCAGTGTCAGAACGGGGAATTTTAAAGAATAGCTGAACGTTCGACGGAGAGATGCGGTAAAACACCCGCAGGTAACGAAACCGCTTTCTCCTGTTCCGCACTTCCTTTCTCCTCCTCCCTGTTAAAATAAAAAGCAACGCGGGGAGATTGTCATCTTGGAGTTCCAAATAGGCTGAAGGGGAATTCTGGGAATTGTCAGACAAGGGCAGTAGGAGATTTAAGTGCCAACCAACGTGATACACAGAGGAACAACTTTGACTATGACGTTATAAATAATCGCAGTGATCAAGAAACTAGGGGCTACTGGGGAAAGCACGTGTAATAATCCACGGCAAGCACACGCGCGTCCAGTACATGAAATCCAAGAGTTTGGAAACTTTTGGATGAACTGAGATTTTACTAAAGACTTCTACGAAAATGAAGACAGATAAATTTAAAAATACACGTTCTCAAGATGAATACGTTGCCGTGGAAAGAGCATGGGGCTTTGAGGTCATAAATAGCAATGTTCAAATCCAAGGTTTGCCGCTCTTGAACTCTCTGAGACCTTGGATAAATTATCCTCCCCAAGGATCAGAGTGTAACACTTTAACACTGATAAGATGTTCCGCTGTCCAGGGCCATTCTGAGGGTTACAGAAAAATACGCACAGCGGTACAGTGCGTCACAAGCTTTGACCCCCTTCCCTAAGGCCACCTTTCAAAAAAGGTCAATATTTCAAAAAAGGTGGATATTGTAGCTATGGTAAATGCGATAGAAGATATTTTAAGGAATATTCAGAACAAGAAAGGCTAGACCTGACCAGAGTTTCTCTAGGCAACCTTTGGGGGGTATTAAACCCGGAGGCAGGGAGACAGCAGTCGTGTGGCTCCCAAATTGCTTAAATTTTCCCATAAAAAAGACTTCTAGGCTGTAAAGGACACGACAAGCCCTGACAATCGGAAAGAGAAGGTTGTAAAAAAAAAAAAAAAAAAGTTAATTTTCTTTTTTTATACGATCAAATCTTCAAAGTGCGATTAATTAATTGTAGGAAGGAAACAGGGATGGCCTGGGAGTGCACACATTCCCTCTCAGCAAATCTAGCTTCTACTGGGTGTTAGCACTTCCGGCTTTCTGCTTTGTGGGGTAGTTGTTCATCTTAGTAGACCCCATACTAGCAGCTCCAGGGCTTTGAGCACATCAAGTGTTGAGTAAATAGTCGTGAATAAGTTAATGTTGTCCTGTAACTTCCTTTAGTAACCATGACAGTTCATGAAGCCTGTAGCTGAAAATGAAAGATGGAAAAAACATGTTTTCCAGATCTTCAAAGATGGATCAGAGTTGATTGCAAAGGTTACAAATATCAATTCAGCAGTATTCCATATGGGATTTATAAACATGTGGGCCCTAATACATGTACAAAGTAATACAGAATTAGGAAGAGCTTTTGCTTATGTATTTCTTTTCTTCTAAAGCTCCCACCCCTCCATCCTTCACTTATGTTGAAATCCATCATATTTGGGAGCTCTTTTCAAATCCTTTCCCTTAAAGTGGTGCCTACTTACCCCAACAGATCATCCCTCCCACTGCTGAATGCCTGACACCTTTGTCATTTCTTGTAAAACTTGTACCTCTTCAAATAGAATAATGTTCACAGGAATGCTTTCTAAACTGAAAAGTGTCATAAAAATTCAGATTTAGTGTTTCTTGAGCACCTACTCTTGAGCTTCATGGTACCGTGGGTTCCATCACACATACTTTACATAGCTTTTGTAGATGGAAGCTTCCAAGATAAGGATGCAGTCTTACTCGTCTTCATGTTCCCAGCACCTGGCGTAGGGCCTGGCACGATGCAGCCATTTTATAACGTCTTTTAAGAATTGTATCAGGGCAGCCTGGGGGGGCTCAGTTGGTTAAGCTTCCGACCCTTGGTTTCAGCTCAGATCATGATCTCAGGGTTTATGGGTTCGAGCCCCACATGGGGCTCCGTGCTGGCAGTGTGCAGCCTGCTTGGGATTCTCTCTCCTTCTCTCTCTGCCCCTCCCCTACATGCTCCCTCTCTCTCAAATAAATAAATTAAAAAATTGGGGCGCCTGGGTGGCGCAGTCGGTTAAGCGTCCGACTTCAGCCAGGTCACGATCTCGCAGTCCGTGAGTTCGAGCCCCGCGTCAGGCCCTGGGTTGATGGCTCAGAGCCTGGAGCCTGTTTCTGATTCTGTGTCTCCCTCTTTCTCTGCCCCTCCCCCATTCATGCTCTGTCTCTCTCTGTCCCAAAAATAAATAAACGTTGAAAAAAAAATTTAAAAAAAAATAAAAATAAAAATAAAAAATTGTGTTAGGAGCTTCCACAATTTTTATCTCATTTCATTATCACAGCAGCTCTGTCTTTAATCCATAAACATTTATTGATGTAAGCAGTATGTAAATCGCCATGCTGGTGCTAGAGAGACAGCAGTGAGCAAAACAGCCCCTGCCCGCTTACTTTGCACGTGAGGAAAGTGAGGTGTAGGATGGCTGTGCCTTCCTTAGACTCACACTGCTGGTGAGCTATAGATGCAGACTGTAAATCTGGGTCTTCCTGGTCCCAAGTCCAGGGTATAAACATAAGAAACGATATTTTTATTATTTTTATTATATTTTATTATATATTTACATATGTCATCCATGTAAACTTTTTATGTATTTTTTCGGTGCCAATAAGCTTTTTATATTATTAATGCGTATTTTATATGTCATGTTTTCCAACTCTACATTCAGTAATAAATGCTAAAGATTCTACACAGCCTGTGTAATTTAGGGATAAGGTCAGAAATTATCTAAATTTTGTTGGGGTTTTTTGTTTGTTTGTTTTTAGAAATTAAGTATTTTAAAAGGAGTACAAAATTAGACCTAAGTATGTTTCATCGCAAGAAATTACTCCACCCCGACCTGATTTATTTTTTAATTTTAAGTGTAATCTTTTTTAACTAGGCTTCACGCCCAGTGCAGAGCCCAAAATGGGGCTTGAACTCACAACCCTGAGGTCAAGACCTGAGCTGAGATCCAGAGTCAGACACTTAACCTACTAAGCCTCCCAGGTGCCCCCCCCACCCAGGTGATTTATTAATATGGCTAATATTGGTGTGTTTCCTAAATTTTAAGGTATAATTGATATTTAAGGAAGTTGCCATCTGTCTCTTTTTTTTGTTTGTTTATTTATTTAAGTAATCTCTGCATTCAACATGGAGCTCAAACTCACAACCCTGAGATCAAGAGTCACACACTCTTCCGACTGAGCCAGCCAGGCACCCCTAAATTAATGGTTTTGTCTTAATTGATCTTCCTGCCTGTGGTCTTATCAGAATTGCTCTGAGACATCCTCCGTACTGCCAGTAGGCTGATCCTATTAAAATACTGACATGATGGAAAAAATCCTTGAATGACATTTCATCATCATTTATTAATAGAATAAAACAAACCGTTCAGCTGAACGCACAATAGCCCTCAAGCTCTGCCCTCCCCTGCCCATCAGTCCTGCATCGTGTCTTTCTCCTCTGCAGGGTATGTTGGCCGCCTGCTGCTGGCTCACTTCTAGCCGGCCTCCGGCACTGCTTTCAGTCCTTGGAGGAACCGCACTTTGACCCAGGCAACTGTTGGGAACCGTGCACACTGTAAATCCTTCTGCCAGAGCTTACACTTAACTTGTTATATGCAAATGAGAGCTTGGATCAAGTAACTTGCAGTTTCAGGTCCCAGTTCTTGTTAAGATTACTTTTTATGTTCTTTTAAACTTTTTAATATGACCCCCAAATGTTAACAGCTCGTTGTCTTTTTTTGTCGTGTTAGTCACTCCTGATGAACAATTTGCTTGGGGTTGCAAAATGCGGGTGTTCTAATTTTACCATTCCTTCTTCATTGATCATCTAGACTACTTCTATAAAGGCAGACTTGGGGTGTCTGGGGGGCTCAGTCAGTTAAGCATCCGACTCTTGATTTCAGCTCAGGTTACGATCTCGCAGTCATGGGATTGAGCCCTGTGTCGGACTCTGCACTGATAGTGCGGAGCCTGCTTGGGATTCTCTCTCTCTCTCTCTCTCTCTCTCTCTCTCTTTCTCTCTCTCGTTCAAAATAAGTAAATATTTAAAAGAAAAAAAGTCAGACTTGTCCTCAACTTCTGTTCAGATCTCCCCAAGGAGAACCGGTATGGAAAAGGCAGGATAAATGCTTGATAGTTTATCTGCTATAGTTGCAGGTTTATTCATGTTCTCTCTTTATTCAAAAGCTACTCTGAAAAGTTATAATTTTCTAACAAATAGTACGTTTCACCTAAATTTTCCAAATCTATTGGCATGAGTTTCTTCCCAGTATTTATTTATCTTTTTAAAAAAAAATCTCTGCTGGATCTATAACTAATATTGCATTTCATATTTCTCATATTATTTTCTGGATCTCCTTTCTTTTTTCTTTGAATAACCTTGGCAAAAGTTTGTTTTATTGGTCATTTCAGATAACAGCTTTGGACAGTGATCTTCTGTGCTTTATCTTTGTTTTCTAATCTTACTCATTTACCTTTATAATTTCTTTCTTTCTTTCTGGGTTCTTGGGATTTATTACTTTGTTCTTTTTCTAACTTCTTGATGTAGATACTTAGTTCATTAGTTTTCAGTCTCATTTTTAAAATAAGTATTTAATTTCTCGAAGTACTTAAATTTCCTCCAAGTAGTGTGTTTAGCT